GAGGAGCCACTCGAGCTGAAGGAACAGGAGACGAAAATGGCTGCTCTACAAGGCGAGCCTGTGCCTGAGCAAGTACAGGATGAGGTAACAGCACTACACAGCCCGCGGAATTTTTGGTGCTCTTCATATACAAGCCCGAGAGAACAGCAGGAGGAGGCTTCCAAAAAAGTCATATTCCGACGTGGCTTTGAAGCGAAAACCTTCTGCCGCACCCTGCTACGCCAACAGTACTCGGAGTCCTGCGAGCCACCGACCAACCAAAACGCCCGCGAAAACTTCACAACCGTGCTTCTCTCGCACGCGCGGCTGTACTCCTTCGCAGACAAATACGGAATCGAAGCCCTGCGACTGCTGACCCTCCACAAACTGCACAAAACGCTCGTCGGCTTCACGCTCTACAACGCACGCATCAGCGACATCATCGCGCTCCTCAGATACACCTACTCGGACGAACACACGCTGGACTACGACAACAAGGTCGACGACCTGCGGGCGCTGGTCTCTGAGTACGTCGTCTGCGAGATCGAGACCATTGGGCGCACGAAGGCCTTTCTGGACTTGATTGAGGAGGGCGGCCCCTTCGTGCGGGACTGGTGGACGCTCATGCGCGAGAACGTCGTTTGATTAGGGCGCTTGTCCGGGCGTGGGGTGCTGCGCCGTCCACGTCAGACGGTCTGGCTGCAGGCTTCCGGCGAATAAGGGGTCGAGTTACACGCGCGCAAGAATCACTATACATAGTTCTCTCTTAGCGTACTGCAAGCCTGCAAATGGACCACGGATCAGCACGTCGGGATCTAGAGCGCTGATGTGTCCCAACAACGTGGTGTAATATTCCGTTACATCGCATCCCTAAGCCAAGATTATTCGCGAGCCTTACGATCAAAATGTAACAGGCTCTCCTGCATACAAGAGCGGCAAAGTGGATTCGCGTTGAGGAGCGGAAGGGTGGGAGAGGGTACGGCGCGGGAAACAACGACGCGACTACGGGCACGCCGCTTTTCTGTGGCGCTTTTCCGTAACGCTTGTCCGTAGCGCTTTTCCGTGGAGCTTTTCCGTGAAGGCGTTTCTGTGCCAGGCCGGCTGCACCGCGTGGAGAAGAACACCAACCTGCAACGCCCGCGCATCCACAACACCACCAACACCCCTTCAGCACATTGATCTCCTGCAACGCCAATACATGACAAGCCCACTGCAGTCCTGCCACCCAGCAACAGCCGCAGAAGTAGCAAAGACAACGATGTAATCCGTCTGCTAAAGCACGTATTTTTTCGCTCTCTTCTTCTTCGCGTGTAGAGTGGAGAATTATTAGTTAACGGCGATGGTGCGAGCCTACGGAAGACAAGGTACGTAACACACCTAAGGACGAACGGAACGTTCCTGTACCGCCTACTTAAGTATCCCCTCTTCGGCGCAAGCAGGGATAGCAGATAAAAGCCTGCTATCTATTCCCTAGGACGTCTCGGGGATACTAGTACTACTATTCGCGCTTCGTTTGCAGCGAAATAAGCTCACAGTCGCTCGTGGCTGGCGTAGATACAGTAACGCACTAAACCGCTTGCTGAAGTTGATATAATTCGCGATACTACAGCCGGTGCCAAAACTCGCTTAAGTGCCATCTACCCTACTTAGTGTAGAACCCGCATTAAGCAAGAGGCGGAGCAACCACCGGCCGCTACGTTCGAAGTTCTACGCGGGCTTTCCGTTCGGGTTGCCCTGCATGGGTGGTGTATACACGGTGCGTGAGAGCCGCAGGGAGCCGCGGTGAATATGGGGAATGCGGGGAAGCTTGATTTAAGGTTGTTTGTTAGCGATGAGAGGCTGGATTTTGGGTTCTGTAACGCTACTGATTGCGTTAGGCGCTTGCGGATGAGATTGGGCTTGTAGAAGGGTTTGGCTGGGGTTATTCTGCATGAGCGCCGTTTGCTGTTGTTGTTGCTATTGTTTTTGCTGTTGGGACGGAAATGCTAGAGTGAGGTATTCGTTCCTTAGGAATCGTGCATACGGCGCGGTTTTCGCGGTGGGGGGAGTGGTCGAAGCATGCGTTTCTCTCGCTTCTTATACCGCGTTTCTTGTTCGTTTGCCTTGTGGTTGGCGGTTTTGGAAGAACAACGGAAAGCGTAAACTGAGAATAAAGTTGCTAGTAATTCCGCACGGATTGGTATCTTATGTCGCAGAAATAGAGGTAATAGGGGTAGAGCTACGTGTATTTAGATGCTGAGGTAATTAGTGTGGGGTTGTATATCGTAGTGATGAAGATTTTTGCGTTACTATGATGGTGTAGGAGATTGGCCCTGAAGCGAACGCTGATGTGCTAAATGAATTAATTAGATGAAGAAAAAAGTGTTAGTTACTTAAACTCCCCTTGTTAGCTTTATTGCCACGAGTAGAACAAGTGGAACATAAAACGGAAGAGAAGCTTTAATTATAAAGGACTCTTTATGGCATGGTCCTCGGCTATAAATCTACCTCTAACTCCTATCTGCTTTAAATTATACCGGTCCTTTCTTTTACCAGACCGTGTATGCATCCTTCTTTAGTTTCGTCTAGTCTTCTATTGCTTCCGAGTCAACTCACGAATCTATCTACTAAATAAGCGAGTAGACGGAAACCAGCTACATCTCACCGAGAATAGTTAGTATGCGAAACTATTAAGCTAAACTCTCTAGGCCGGAAGTAAAATAAAGAACTAACAGCTCTATTATACGTCGGAACTTAAAGTATATACCTTTCTAGCCTACGCCTAAATAAAGCTTTCGTTAGTATAGTTTAAGAGAGTAAGTATAACCGGGGTTTAGTAGTATACTTCAGTAGCGCTACTTATCCTGCTTGTTTTTTTAAAGTCAACTCGGAGAGCCCCCACAAGGCACGTAGGTATAAGTACTGTTGCTTGATTAATTAATTAATTGATTGATTAATTCGTTTTACGTCTATATGGAGTTAGAAACTATAACGGACGGTCTATTTAGGACTAGCTAGGGGGTTTAAATATAAGATAAAAGCGAGGTGGTACGAGGGATAGTTGGATCTAGGCCGAGGTGATAAAAAACGAAGGAAAGAAAAGGGTTTTTAGAGAAGATAAAATAGAAAGGAGTAGATCGGAATTGTAGGAG